CAATCGAATGCATCGTTCGAACGAAATCTTATCGTTCCTTGTTCATCATGATGATCATTATTGTTGTTGTTGTTATTTACGGTAATATTTTGATTTAAATCATATTGATTTTTTGAAAAATTAGTCATCTTTATAACAACAACAACAACATTTAAAAAATTTCACAATTTAAAATATCAACAACAAAAACCGTATAGTTTTTTCAAAAACTGGATCAATAAAAAAACAACGATGATAATGATGATGTAAATTACAAAAAAGAATGATTTCTTATGAAATAACCTTTGTAGTGTTTTGGTCATATCAATTTTTTTTTATATTACCTTTTTATATGAAAAATGATCCTTTTCTTTTATTGTTATTCGATGATTGTAAATTTGTGTCGTCCGTATATGATAAAAACAACAGCAGCAACAGCAGAAAAAAATTATGATCCGGTTGTATCCGATTTGGTTTTTTTTGTTCTTCTTTGGATGTGGCATTTGATATGATTTTAACCAATAAATGAATAAACTTATAGTCATCATCATTATTATCATCATTGTTGCCCGGTCATTTTATAAGTAAAAAAATTTTAATAGGTAACAACAGGTAAATTATGAATGATGGTAATAAAAACAGGTGATATTATCAATTTTTTTTTTGAATTGTCATATTGCTGATAATAATAATAATAATTTTTATTTATTTATTAATTATAAAATTATAAACTAGTTTGTACAATAAATACACCATATTCAATAATAAATAATGTTAATGTAATTAAAAATGAAAAATCAATATTTGTAAATTGATAAATGGACATTTGAAAATCTTGTTCATAAATATTTGTTAATTGATATAAACGTATTGGATCAAATTGACGAATAATCAATGTTTCATCATTAAACATTAATCGATTATTATTCATCGATAATTGTTGTTGATTGATTAATTTCCAATATGGTTGTAATAATATTTTACAAATATTTTTTAATCGTATTGAAATATTTTCATTCAATTTTGATATTAAACCAATATAACTACCGAATAAAAATATACGTAATATAAGAAAAAAATTACTATTATTTGTAGTTAATCTTGCAATACAAAATATTAATGTTATATTTAATGATTGCATTATAAGCCATATTAGTAAATGAAATGATAAATGTTTATTTATCTGTTTACTTATTCGTGCTATTCGACTTAAACGTTCGATTAATAATTGATTTTTTAATAACGAAAATGAAAATTTTTCCTGTATAAAATGTCGTTGTAGTTTTCTTTCCCGGATTAAATTCCATTCAATAGTAGCCAATAAATAATGTAATGATTTTTGATATGTTAATGACAGGAAACAAGAAAGAAAAAATTGTATATCAGTTTGAAACCAACCAAATAGATTTATATATGATTCAATCGGTCGGGTTTGTTCATCGAAAATAAACAGATAAAGAAATGGACCAACAAAAATACATTCATTCAACAGAATGAATATCATAAATAATAGATAAAATCGATGAAGTTCAATATTTATAATTAGATTATGAATTTTTTTAAAAATCATTCGACCATTTATAAGATAATTAATTGTAATTAAATTATAAAAAAATGGAAATATAAAACGATATGTAAATATTAATAATGTAATGAAAAATTGTTTGGATGTAAAATTTTCACCAATATAAACATATGGATCATAAATACTAAGTCCATATGTGGCAATCAAATTGATTGATATATTGATCATCAGATTGAATATTGATCGCAGGCGAATCGAACGAAATTGATAGCCTAAATATCTGAAAATAAATAAATAACTGAATGATTTTCCGGAAAAAAATGTTTCATTTTTTAAAAAAAATAACCTACCCAAACGTATACAATATTAATCGACAATATTTACGAGATTTTTTACCACGTTCATCCATATCGTTTGAATATTGTTTGATAATGTGTTATCACACAAGCAAATGTTTCCTAAGAATGACAAAAAAGACCTTGTGACTCTAAAAGGATCATCATTGTTGTTCATATCGATCAATAATGCTCGATATGATATACGCAAAGGTAATAATTAACTAAGAATTTTCTGACACTTTTTTTCTTGGAATGGCATTAAAAAAACATTTACATTTAGCAGATCGATAAAATACAGGTATCATATTTTTATTTATCACCTTCAAAACTGAAAAACTTTAATTAGTGGATACAATAAATACAGTATAATTCATAATGAATACAATCATTGAAAGTAAAAAACTAAAATCCAATTTCCAAAAATGACAAATATTAACAAGAAAATCTTTTCGATAGATTTCTATCAATTCAAACGATTGTATCGGATTGATTGATGAAATTTTTTCATTACTTTTTTGTTGTTGATTATTGGCGGTGATTCGTAAATCCAATTGATTCCAATATGATTTCAGAATAATATTACGTAACTTTAATATTCGTTGATGATTACCATTGTTTAATATGAATATAAAACAAAGATAACTATTTGTTGTTGATAATGGTAAAATTATATGCGGTTTATCAATGAATCCATTTTCAATAATATTACAAATAAGAATAATATAATGTATAATGACAATGATCAAAATCAATAAACAATGTATCGATAGTATTTGATTGATTTGTCTACTCCATAAAGCTACTTTTGTTATTTCGTTGAAAAATTTTATAATAATTCTTATGGATATATTTTTCATTGTTTTGAATTTAGAAAAATTGTTGATTTTAGTTAAAAGAAATTGTCGTATACAAAATTGATGAAATATAATTAAATTGAAAACAAAATGAGTCTGTTCTTTTGCATAATATCTTGATAATTTATCAATAAATTGTCGAATAGATAGATTAAAAAATTGTGATAATGGCATAATTGCATAAATGAATTCAATCAATGCTATAAAAGTAATTAAATATGTTGAATATCGATAAATTGGTGGATGATAATGGTTACTAATTTTATTCATTAGATATATTAATCGACGACCATTAACAAAATAATGTAAAAAGATTATAAAATGGATTGTAGAAAATAAACAACTAAAACTAAGCCAGGTAAAATGTTTTAAAAATGTTTTCGATGAATGTAATCGATTATGTCGTTGTGAAATATGATTACCATAAACAATAATTATGGTAATAATAATATTAACAATAATATTGGCAATGGATTTCCATTGTTTCAAATGAATCGGTTGAAATTGTAAGCCAAAATTTCTAATGATAATGATAATTATTATCAAAAA